CTGTCAAACGTTTAAAGGGAGGAAAGTTTGTCAGATGTCATAAAGGATGTCCAAGAGATATTTATGTTGTTGGTGTTGTTTTGTTCTTTTTCCTGCTTAACATCCCACTCACCATCTTGTAAAGTTTCTTGAAGAAAATAGAGTCTAATTTTTTTGTCTCAGCCAAGTGCTAATTTGAGAAGTCAGAAAGGGATTAAGAAATTATTTAGGGAAGGCCAAAGGATTCAAGACCACAGTGGTAATAATTTAATTGAAATATTTCAAAGTGAAAGGAGAAGCTTAAATTCATCGTTCCATATATTGTCTCAGCCATTTTCAGTAATCTGCTGTATCATATAACTTCTGCTGAAGTATGGGAATTGCAATAATCAGGTAGATTGCTAATCTGTTAATAACACTTAGTGAGCTGAGAGGCAGGATTTCAAATTCTATCCCCCACATTTTTCTTAGATGAATTGCCCATATTATATCGTAATCTTTGTTCCTCAGGTTCAGTGTTTTACAAAATTGACATGATTAGCCATATAAATCTCATAGGATAAGATTTTAATTACTGGCAGAAGAAAAAAAAAGCATGAGAATTATTTATGATTATGAGTAGTTTTTTTATATTTTACATGTTAGGCCATGTATTATTTGTTTTGTAGCTAGATGTTTATTGAACAACCTTGAGATTTCTGTCTCCCTGAATTAGACTAAATGATTATTTAAATTGGTGTATTTTGCATGTCTCAGGATCAGCCCTCCTCAGACTCCTCCTTTATGACTTTTGTCTTCCAAGGTTTCAGAAACAAGAGAGCAAGAAGACTATTTATGGGATAATTAAGCCTACAGAATGTTTTTTTTTTTTTGTTTGGTTTTTTTTTTTTTTTTTTAATTGTTTTAAGGGATTCAAAATTTCCTCCAGTCTTTTTACTTCGAATCCTGCATAGTGTGAATCATGTAGTTACCTGTAGTGGCCAGCCTTGTAAAGAAGCTGATTTTTTACCCAAAGAAATCTTATAAGGAGCTTTATGAGAATTGTCTGCAAGCTTCTTCCATTTCTTTAATAATTGATTATTACATCCAAATTCTCCCAAATGAAAGCATTTGTATCCCTGACCATGGGAGAGGGGTTGGAACTAGATGATCTTTAAGAACCTAAACCATTCTATGATTTAACAGAGTTCAGTTCTATACAAGTTCTGTTTTCTCAACACATTCCCAGATTTTTTTAAAATTGGCCTTGCTCTTTTGTTTGACTCTTAAAACTGCACCTGAAGTTGTAGCAACCTTTGCATGAAAGGCACTTGAACATGATTAGCCATTTAAATTTCTTGCACTTATAGGTGAAATGTCAAGCCAAATGGGGATATAATTTAATTCTTGTGCTTTGAGAAGACTAATAAGAGGTTTATTGACCATCTGCGAAAACAAACTTTTGTTTGTTAGTGGACAGAAATCAAGAAGGTGATATAGATGTTCAAAAAGCCATTTATGAAACTGTGAGCTACTCACTTGCACTGAGTCTCTGATGATACTCATTCATTCAGTATCCTTTTCTTTCTTCCACTTGTTCAATGTTTTTCTTTCACAAATAGCTCCTGCCTGTTCTATTGTAGGTTGCTCAACAAGCTTGCTCTTCTATTTCTTGGGTGTAAGACTTAAATCTGGGTTGGTCAAGGTAGGCCTGAAAGACTAGGAAATTCTCTCTCCACATGTTGCAAAAGGTATGAAGTCTACGGAAAAATGTAAATAAGTTTCAGATCAGAGCTTGTTTCACCTAACAAAGAATTGACATATGAGAGAGAGGTCACAAGGAAAACAGCTTCCATGTAAACATATCTGAACAAAGGAAGATTTAAATGCAGTTGCAGCTCTTTTGGAAATATACCAAGAAGATAAATATTCCCCTAAAAGCAAATAACTAAGGTTGTCTTTACCTCTGAAAATTGAGAGGACACCAGAACAATTCTATTCTAAGGGAAGCCATCCTTCTTCAGGTATGTGGAAGACAATTCTGTTTTTTCTATTCCTGGGTTATTTGAATTGGCAACCACAATAGTTCATAGAGTGAAAAGTTTGGAAAAGGAAATATTTTACCAGATTTCCTTACTTTGGAGACACCATCTGTAGCCCTGGAGAACAGGGTATTGAAACAAGCTGGAAACAGAGTTGACTGGACAACAAATGCCCAAAATCTGAACCTGCTATTCCTAGGGCAATATTGCATTAAAATTTCCTGAATCCACTTTTACCCAGCTTGTTGTTGAGAATTTCAAAAAGATCTGATGATTTTTGTGTGACAGGCCAAAATATGTTCCTCTGTCGTATGAAAGTGAGTCCTTCAGTGTATGATACCTGGACATGTGTTGCCTCAGAACAGTTTCCTAGAGATGTATGGAAACCTGTAGAATAGCTACCCTGTTTCCTAGACCTTTTTTCTTATTTTTTTTTTCTCCAGTTTTATCACTTTTCCTTTCTGTGCAGAGTTCTTGCTAAACTATTTTTGTTTAACACTCGAGATTTAGGCACAAACTGACCTAATCATAGAAGAGTATTTTTAAAAAAAAATTCTACTTCCTCTGTTTTTTCTGTAGCTCAACTGATGTGCTTGGATTCTCTCACAAGAAAGCTTCTGAAGTAAGAAAGACTTCTCTAACTCAAAAGGGGAATAGTGTTTCTTTCAGAGGAAAGAACCCAGACTGAGAGTAAGAGGAGATGAGGAGGACTGTTTTGCTGAAACTAAGTAATTTCAGTTTGTTTCCCAATGTACCATTTTAATTCAGCAAACACAAAGGGACTGTATTGGCTTGAACTTGAAAACAAGTTATCAGGGAGAAAAAGTAGTGGGGTTTTTTGTTTTGGTTTAGTTTCCCCCCCCCGCCCCCCCATTTCAATAAATCCCAACTTGGGAAGATGCTACAGACACCTTAGGTCAACTTGGGAAAACAAGAGTTCAGTTATCTTACATTTATGCTTTCCCCCCTACTCCCCAGTGAATACCACTTTCCGTAGCCTAGTAGCCTAGCAGTTAACCCTACTGATAAAACTAAGAAAATTATTTTCTCTGAATTTTATTCCAAATTTCTCAAAAATATGATTCCACATTTTCAGGTTAAGGTCCAAAAACTGCATTAAGTAGATTAGAGAAGTTCAGAATACACTTTGTAGTATAGAAATAATTTCTTTAACATAAATGATTGTTCTCTCTTTAGTTCAGCTTTATGCCTGTGACTTGTTTTCATGTGTTGTTTAGTGAACTGTTTACAATATCAGTTGAATGTTTGTGTTTGATGGAGGAATGTTTGAGTTTGATGTGCACTCATAATGATGGAAATTTTGTTATACAGGACTATGAAGAAAATGCAAAAAAAAAAAAAGAAATCAGCAAGAATTTCAATGAAGCTATTATACTCTCATGGGAAATCTGAGTATACTCCTTCAGTGTCAGTTCTCATTTCTTATTTTGGAGAGTTGTTCTGTATTTGTAAGGTTTGAGTACACAGTATAAATTGCTACGGGTCTTGACAGATGAGCTTGGTTTCTACCACCCTTTAGTACCAATGTAATAGCTCTTGCAAAAGCCCATTAAGCTCAGGAGCATGTATAATTTCTGCAGCAAGGTCAAGTGAAATCTGTCTTGTAACATAGCAGAATCCTGGCAACACTGGAGATAGGCTACCACTAGTTGTCTCTTCTGCGCTCAGTGCATCAAGAAAGTCTTTATCTCCAAATCCAGACTCCCGTCTTCCACTTTCTGTTGAGTATTACAAACTCAAGCTGTCAAATTCATGAGGCTAAAGAATACAAGGAAAAAAGGAGCTGAACTCCCTGTCCATGTAGAGAAAGATGTAGGGGTAGCCTCTCGCTTTTTTTACTGTTTATACCAAACAACTCAATCCAATATGTGTAAACCAGAATCTAGCACTCTTCGCATGGGAGTACGTTCCTCCCTTGGCCATAGAGGTAGAACTCCTCTCACTTTTGTATGTGCTCTCTTACCCTCTGACCTTGTGACTCTTGCATTTCTGTCTGCAGTGGCCTGACTTCAATGGGGAGCATGAGAAGCAGCTCCGTTCTGGTTTTGTCCATACTTGATGGGAACTGGGGGAAGTGGGTTTCTGTCTCTCAGGTGGGGAGAGACGTGAATACAGGTTTCCCATTTTCTGGACGTGTCCTCTAACAATTAAGCTATGTACTAGAGGAAGCACTAGTCATAACCAACTGTTTTTCAAAGGGACTCTCACTCAATACGGTATATAGGTTTTAGGAGTGCTTTAAGCATATCTATCAGATTAGACCTGTTAGGGTATTTAGATGTGTGAATATTTAGTCTGTGAATCTCTTAAAGACCTTAGGTAAGAAGATGTCCTAACCAGGTTGCTTAGTTAAAAGGAGGCATAAGCTTCCATAGGGAAGGTAATAACTAAAATTTGGGTACTCAGGAAAGTTTTTCTGGACAAAAATGTAGGCGTTATGGGTATAGATGTATTTAATTAGGTAAATAAAGTTGTTTGTTTTTTTCTTTTTTTTTTTTTGGTTAACAAAGTATCTAAATTCTACCTAAATTGAAATTTAAGTCCCTTCCTGAATCTGGACCTCACTGTGTTCTTTGTCTCCTGTAATTGTCTAAAAATACTGTTGTGTACTTGTTAAAGATTTTATGTTTATATACAACTTCTTCTAAGAGTATTCAGACTAACATAAAATAAATAAAAAGCCTATCTGTTAGGCTGGATCTCATTTCCCAGAGGGTTACTTGGTAACTGCAATATTTTTCACTGAGATTATATTTGTTTTTACCTGTTATACATTTCTGTCTTGAAATGATAGAGTATTTTTTTTCTAATTATCTAGATGTAAATTATGAAATTAGGTATTATTTGAACATTGTGATTCATAGGAATCATTATATAATGTATCTTGAAGACGTGGAATCAAAAATGCTATTTAAAGAATGTTATCTGTATAACGTACCTGAGTTTCTCACCTTTTCCTTCTCTAATTTTCCAATGCAGATAACAATACCCAGACCTTCAGTGGCATCCACACAGTCTGCTTCAGAGAGCTTTCATTATGGCCACCAGCTAGAGAAGAGAGAGCAGGATGCTCAGTCTATGGAGCACACCGTGGAACTTTCCTCTCCAAAGGAAAGTTTGCCAGGTTTGGTTGTGACAGAAGATGCACTTCCAGCTAGTGCCAGTAGACCAGATTTGGTACTTAATATCAGCCAAGAGGTGCTTGATAGGGAAGGACTTGTCAAAGAATGTGTCAGTGTCATGAACTGTGGCCAAAAGGACCTACCTGAACAACATAGTAGGATACAGGAAGAGAAAGAACTTGAAAATATTCCTGTAGAGGAAGCTGAGGAAGAAAGGCTTCCAGTGGTTTCTGAGGATGCCATTGAAATGCTAAGCAAAGAACAGAATTCTTTGCCAGGAAACTCAAAATCTGCAGAGGAAGAACCTCTAACAAATACTGATGCTGCTGAAGAATCAAAGCCAAGGCCCATCTGTTTGGTGCCAAATCAAGATGAGGTTCTGAAGTCGATAGCACCTAAAACAACAGAATTTTCTCCCTCAAGACTTACCAACCCACATGTCAATAGACAGGCATGCAAAATAGCACCAGTTCAGGAAAATGGCTTTCATTTTAATAAGGAAGAAGTTCATATCCAAGACTTGAAATGCCACCAAGTGGCCCTTACTACTTTTTTGCACCAGGAGGACAAAAAAGAGAAAAATGCTCCCAGAAATGGAGAGTTATTCCACTGCATTTCAGAAAACGAGAATGCTCATCGACCTAAGAAGGACTTAGTTAAATCTCCTTTTGTATTCAGGCAGAGCCGAATCCCAGTTTTAGCACAAGAGATAGACTCAACGTCAGAGTCCTCTTCTCCTGTTTCAGCAAAGGAAAAGCTGCTTCTAAAAAAGGCCCATCAGACAGACTTGGTCAGACTACTCATGGAAAAGAGACAGCTTAAATCTTTCCTTGGTGACCTCTCAAGTGCCTCTGATAAGTCACTGGAGGAAAAAATGGCTGCTGCTCCAGTACCGTTTTCTGAGGATGATGTCTTATCCTCATTTTCTAGATTGACTCTGGACTCTCATTTCAGCAAGCAGATGGAAGATAGCTCTTTATCTCCAAGCAGCCCTCAGTCCAGAAAAAGCAAGATTCCAAGGCCAGTGTCCTGGGCAACCACTGATCAAGTCACCAGTTCAAGTTCAGCTCAGTTCTTTCCTCGGCCACCTCCAGGAAAACCGCCTACTAGACCTGGGGTAGAAGCTAGGTAATGCAGAGAAAGTAGAAATAGATTTTCAGGTTGAAAACGGATTTGCTCTAGACTGCAGTTACTGTGCAGTATGTAATCCTGTGGAAGTTCCATCCTTTAATTAATTTTAAAAAAATGCTGGGCTTCAATTCTCTGAGAAATCTTACATTGTTGGAGAATGAATGAGGAGGGGCTGTTACACAAGAATGAGCCTGCTTCACTGTTAAACCTTATACGTCAGTAGACATGTATCCAGTATTTTGAAACCTGTCAATCTATGACTACATCTTTAGACTTTTTTTCAATGTGGGGTCACTCTTCTGGAACTGTTCATTATTCACAAACCCAGAGAAATTAATAGGATCTGTCATATCCAGCCCCTTTGAAAATTAAACTGTTCTTACTGTAGACATTTTAAGTATTTGGGTTTGGAGATTCTAGCCATCAGTATTGAGTTAGTTGGCTATGCTCAGATCATGGCTAAGTAAAACCAACTAATTAAAGGAGGGCAGAGTGAATTCCAGAAGCCCCCCTTTGCCAATTCTGTATACTGACAACCACGATCTAGTTTCTTCAGTGCCTACATTACCAGGATAAGGACACTCTTGACATGGTAGTGCAAAATCCTCTGAAAGAAGTTGTGGCATGCCATGTCATCCCTTAAAATTGTGTATAGGAGTGTATTGATGATGTGCAGAAATGAACGTACCCCTCCAAAACAGAGGCAATAAGCACTGCTCCTCAGTGCACTTCTTCCATTTCAGTTACCCTGTAAACACTTCAACTGTTTATGTGAGTGAGTTTATGCAAATATAAATACTGTGTTGATTTGAACAACACAGAAGCCAAATCTTACATCCAAACACCTCTACCGTATAGGAGAGTTCAGCTCCAGAAGTCTGTTCTGCAATGTAAGCTCATCCCCAGTTTCTAGCGATACTGTGTTTCTATATGAACTGTAGTGAACAGATGGGAACAGAAATAATCTTTCTTCATTTCTTCTTAAGGTTACGCAGATACAGAGTCCTAGGGAGTAGCAGCTCGGACTCAGATCTTATCTCTCGTCTGGCTCAAATCCTACAGAATGGATCTCAAAGACCAAGGAGTTCTACCCAGTGTAAGAGTCCAGGATCTCCACATAGCCCAAAAACACCACCCAAAAGCCCTGTCATCCCCCGACGCAGTCCCAGTGCCTCCCCTAGGAGCTCTTCTTTACCCCGTACTGCCAGTTCTTCTCCGTCCCGGGCTGGGAGACCCCATCATGATCAGAGGAGTTCATCCCCACATCTTGGGAGGAGTAAATCACCTCCTAGCCATTCAGGCTCCTCATCTTCTAGGAGATCCTGCCAACAAGAGCACTGCTGCAACAAACCAAGCAAGAATGGTCTGAAAGGATCTGGCAGTTCCTTCCACCATTCCCCCAACACTAAGACTCCCACAGGAAAGAGCAAATCAACCACTAAGCTTAGCAGATAGGAACTGGGCCTTGACAGGTATAAAGCCTCCTCCTAAATCTGATGCATGTTGTGTCTGTGTACTGTGTATTTAAAAAAATAATGAAAAAAAGTATATTAAAAAAAAAAAAAAGGTGTTGAATCTGCGCTTTTTAAAGAAAGCAAGCATCATAAACTATTCATGAGAAAGCATTCTGTGTAAATAAGTGGCCAGGCATTGCCTAAGAGCAGGCAGCAAGCAGATCCGCGGAGGGGAAGTCGAGGCCAGGATAAGAATGACTAGGTAGTCAAAGAGGTGCAATGTTATTTAGAGTAAAAAATATCTCTAAGGTGAGTGTTTTAAAAAGATATTTATTTCTATGTTTTTAGTTTACCTAGCTAGATTTGGCCTAATTATTTAAGGCCTTACATACTCAAGGAGTATGTAAGAAAACCTGCAACGGTTATTCCCAAAATAACGTCACCACTTGGGAGATAAGTACTGCTCAAGCGTGTCTTTGCAGTTTTAAAAAAGCACACAATTTAGAAGATGGTGGTATTTCTACCTTATAAGCCTCTTCCATTTTGAGCTGCACACAACTCTGAGTCACTCAGTGCTCATCTTGTCCCTTGTCTGCTGTGGCACAGACTTTTACCTAAGGAAGTATCATATACCTTGCCTCTTCTTGACACTGATGACATTTTAAAAATTAATACTAACATTTGCCAAGATGCTTTTATAGCTATATTCTTTAGAAATCTGTTTAGTACTCATTAGGATCCAAGAAGCTAATTTTCAGTTCTATATCATACACTTCTTTAGGAGTCGTAGTGGGGTCCTTCAAACATAACGGTACAGCACCTTTTGCTATATTCAGAAGAGAATAGTGGGTAAGAATAGTAACGCACAAGAACGCAAGTGTGAGAAGGAAGCAGCCAGCTCTCCCTAATTATTCCTGATGTGGGAATGCTGGATGCATAGGAGACTTGTCAGTTACTGATCTGCTTGCTGTAGTCATATTGCCTCTCCAGCCAGCATCTGTGCTTTTTTATTTAACCTCTGCCAAATGAATACCTTTGGATTAAAAAGGGAATATTTTGTCTCTGAGCTAACACATTCTAATGCTGCATTAAAGCTGCCCTGGAGCTGCACTGAAGTTCACTTGCTTTGTCAGACTATGTTGATTTAATCTTTTTTAGTTTCTTACAATGAATATGTATATTGTTTCCCATATGTAATGTAGCACAGTGTGGAACCTTAATTTCATTCAGGTTTCAAGCACTACAGATGAATGCAATAGGTAGGGTATACCTGCTTTTTTTGAAGAAACTGTACCATTGGAAAGTCCTATTCCTTTGTATTATATTGTATAATAGGTGCTATACCAATAATTGCATGTCCTCATGATAAATTATATAATATAAATATTTATATATATACATACATGTATATGCTTATATAAACTCATTCTTTCTCATTTTTCATTTGTAATTTATGGACCACAAATAATACAGTTCCCTTTCTGTTAGTTACTGAATACTTTTGGCATTACATCTTCTATTTCCCCCCTAAAATTTCTGGAATGCACAAATTCTAGCAGCCTTTATACCTTGGTACAAGATTGAAGGACTGCTGATTTCTCAACCAGCCAATGTTTTGTCTTGCAGCTTGTTTTTTTTCTTTATAATTTTGTGTGTGCATTTGCATATGGAACAAGAAGAGAGACTCAGAAGTATTTTTATTTTTGATTACAGATAGGGCTCATTTTGATTTCATAATGTGAGTTCTAAATTGCTATGAATGCTCTTCATATACGAGCAGTGACAGTCAATGAATACCTAACAGATGAATGTGACAACAACAAATTCTATCTTTTCCTTCCTATTTTCTTCATGTTTCGTTAGGTATACCATAAAAAGAATTTGGTCCCATTGTGATATTTTTGCCTTGGGCACTGCTGGATTTATTTGTTAAGGTGGTGTGGCAGCCTATGATTATTTTTCCTCCCCTCTCCCTTATTTCTCCAAAGCATTTATTGTGGTCTTGTAAGTTTATTCCTATATTAACATGGTCAGTTTTAATAGGTACCAACTTCATGCATCCTTGCCTGAAACACTGAAGTCAAGGTGTTTATATTTTCTCTCCAGTGGAGCAGGATCCAGAAACAGGTAATTGCTTTGCAGGTGAGAAAGAATATAACACCCAAGGATTTTTTTATGCTGTCTTCAAAGTACAAACTTGTCCATTGTTACACATTACTATGTAAAATAAACCAATGCTGTAGAAATGCACTTGTACTTGAACTACTTGCCAATGTAAAAATAGTAAACTATGCCAAAATGGAGAAAGAGATACCAATCATGATTGATGACCCAGGCTTCTTTCAGTGCAGAAAAAGGTAGAAGGACTGTATATCCTCAGTTGCTTTTTGCTGTGGATTCAACAGAATCTAGTGAGAAAATCATGAAGATATGGATGGAGGAGTGATTGTGAATAACTTTATCTGAACTACCCACTCCTCTGGAGTTTTTTATTGCTTGATACCCTCCCCCCAGAAGTTTACAGAACTGCTTACTATAGTCTGACATAGCAGTCAGTTAATGTAGTTAGGTAGTGGTCAGCTGATCAACTCATACATAAATATTAGCTTAATATTTCTAGAGGGCCTGCATAATCAAGAACTCTGTAAGCTTCAATATTTGCATATGCAACTGACTCTGCATAAAACCACCGATGTACATGTGTGTGGCCCTTGTGCAGAGCGTGAATGAATGGTTTACGGAGGGTTATCTGCAACAACTTTTCAGGGACGGGGAAGATTTTTCTCCATTGTACAAAACGGTTAGTTATTCTGCATAGCACGCAGCAGCTTACACAGGGATTTTAGCTGGGAAACAATATAATTCAAGGAGCCGTTGCTTTGTCCTCTTCAAGCCTCCATTTCTTTGGAGGGCAGTGCAATGGAGCCATGACATGTAGCAGATGCAGATGCTGCACACACATTTCTTCTTTATGGCGTTTCCTGTGTTGTGGCCAGCACTTTGGAGTATTTTTTTAGAAAAATTGAGGCATGAAGCCTTTAAACTAAAATAGAACTTGAAAAGACTGAACATTTCACACTACTTTTGTGCTGTGATATTGCATGGTATTCTAAGTTGCAACCTCAAAAATCTATACTAATATTAATAAACCTCATTATTAATTATAAATGCCAATTACTACTTAAGTAAAACCCTGTTAAAAGTAATAGAAGGTGTGATACAGTAGAGCAACACTGGCAAGCTGTATGATGCTAGGCACCTATCTACTACTTGAGCAGGATCGGTAAGCATAGGAAATTTCAGTGCTCAATGGCAGGAACAATATGAGGTCTTAACTGCTAGTTATTTACAATTATTCAGGAGGTAAACCCCTGGGGAGTGACACGGGGCATTATAGCCACCAGCCACATCCTGGCTTGGGAAATCTGGTCATTCTTGCCTTGAAGCCTGCATGTTTGAGATTGAGCTTTCTCGCATACCTCACTAAACAGTCTTGATGTAAAGAGGAGGATCTGGTCCCATATATTTAAAATTTGCTTGAAATATTTTTCATCTGGAAAAGACTTGCAAGATCTCTATCATTTACAATTTGTAGTATCACGGTATTAACTATAGCTGGGAAAACACACAGTTTTGATTTTATATATATATATAAAAATATGCATTTGTACATAAGTGTATCTATATATACACTTATATAGATACTGTATATTCTCTAGAAACATATATACATACATATATATGTGTGTATATACATATAGATAGGAACAGTCTCAGCTATTGCATCCCGTTTACTAGAATTCATGTGCCAGAGTGAGCTGAGGCCTGTTATGCTTTGATTTGCTCTGATCTCCTCTTCATCTACCATAATTTTGCTATGCCCTAATTCTGATTCCGTGTCTTTTCCATATTACAAGGCCTGATCCTATAGTCCTACCTGGGCAAAACTCCCATAAGTCCTTCTTATTGCAGTAACATTTATGCAATGGTTGACTGTAACGTTTCTAAAAATACAGTTTCATTTTCTCTTCAGTGAGAATGTAGACAAAGCCAGACTTAAAGTACAGACGCTTTCCTGTAAGCAGAATTTTTCCATGATGGATTGGACATTTTTGTGGAACACTAAGAGACATAAAATCTGGTAAGAAGAAAGTGATTATTCCAGTTCCTTAAAAGGGTTTAATGGCAGACTAGGGATATATGCCCCCAATTTTTATATAGGTGTTAAACGAGAGAGGAATCTTCTGAAATGGAGCAGGAGAATTTTAGCTCAAAGTCAAATTTGTTTCACATTATAGGTCTATAATATATTGATCTTAATTTTTTCATGCAGGACTGTGAGGTGACGAGAGCGATGCCTACCTTGTCAATTCCAGTGAGCAAGGGGCTTCTTAGGTGTTTTAAGTTAACACCATTTTTCCCTGTGGCACATTCTCTGTATGCATTTCTGCTATAAGGAGTGGTCAGAGAACTGTGAGTTACAGAAATTAAAAGCCTTGACAATTATCCATGATTCCTTTCTTCAAGTGGTAAAAGCTTTGGATGCTCATTCCTATTTCTGAAACTTATGGAACAGGGCATAATATTTTTATTCTACTTTTAGCTAACTAAGTAGGCAGTGGACTGAAGAGTTTTGTTTGCTGTTTTGCTTTTGGCTGAAATGTCTGTTTGCAATTACTGCAATTTTCAGTAACCAGTAACACTGGTAAAAGGAAGCGAGGTTCAGTGTTTTGACTACATGCAGTAGGTAGGCATAGGGCATACATTTCTTAGCTAATACATGCAATTCGCATAAACACGCACCTCACAGAAGAATACCTCAGCTGTCTGCTTGAAGCCAGCCTTACCTACATTTAACAGTTGTAAAAGAGAAATTATATAAATCAGCCTGAATTGTGTAATAATTGTCTGGAATTATGCTGATACTGTCAAATGCTGAAAAGTTTTATCACTCACTTTCCTGTGGTTTAAATAATCAGGCTTTTAAATGTTAACCTTTAAGGTTTGTTTTGTTTTGCTTTTTAAAGAAAAATGCATAGGAGGGAGCATATTGTATTTGAAGTCTAAGGTATTAGCTTGGCTATTACTCTAGCCATCCAGGTTTGAACATGTAGGCTGGTTTTACTCTCCATTGCTGGGTAACACCTTCTATCCAAATAGCAGTAGTGACAAACTCAAATGTTAGCATATGTCATTTAGGTATTTTGCTCCTGTTTCTCCTCTGCACGAAGAGCTTGGATCCTTGCGAATTCTTGCTGGTTTTGTGCAGGTGAAACTTCCATTAAAATCAGTATAGGGTCTTGTTTTGAGTTGGTTTCCCCTGTTTAGAGGCTGAAGGAATAAACTCACTCTATAAATACCATATTTGCGGTTGCTGTATTTTAAATTGGGAAATGCTTATTTTTTAATAGTATTATGACATGACATGCCTTTTGCTCTCTCCTTTTGTGTAAGAATGACTGCTGAGAGCCAGCTTTGGCCAAGAGCACAAAGTGGTTCCTTCTGAAACAATACCACAAGTGGGCTACTCATAGGAGGTTCTGATCATCCACAGCTGTCTGTGGGAATTCAGGTGGAATTAATTTGAGTTACAGATGTTCATTTCCTTTTGAGATCACTTGATCTTTGGCCTAACTTTTATATAAAGGACCTATAGTACACAGCAGACAAGCTTGCTCCAAAAGATACAGTGTAATTAGTTTGGTCTGCCTGGCTTCAAATCCTTTTAAATCCGTATCTGCTGCGTGGCAGGCAAGTTTGACACAAGGTGAGGTGGGATTTTTTTTTGGCTATTTCACATCTTTTTTTTGTCTGACTGGAGATCTGGATTGGTTGCCTAACAGCCTTCTCTGCAACCTCTTTACTTTCCTTGGCTAGAAAGCAAGATTTGAAATTCTTCCCCAACCTCTAACTTTCTGTCCGTAGAGTCAGCCCAGAGGTGAGTTGCAGTGCTTGCGCTAACAGATGTCAATTTTCAGATGCTTTCCTATGAACATCCAATCTAGTAAATTAAGGAAATCACCAGCAATGCCTTCAGACAAGTACTGACTTTTTGAAGCTGCCAACACAATGGCTGCTAATCTAAAATCTCTGGGCAATGCCACAAAGAAAGAAACCTGTGTATTAATTAAAAATACAATGTTGTCGCCCTGTAAGAAATTAAGTACTCAATAGTAGAATCTGCAGAGTGATTAAATTAAGTGGAAAGTAGTTCCAAAATTGTTTGTTACCATTGAGGAAGACACATGTTGAGTCCTTCAAATTCTCTTGCTTAGCAATTACAGTTCTCTTCCCCTGCTTGGAAATCTTCTAAGCCATTCTGTTCCTTTTAAGTTTGCTCAGGCACCCAAGAACATAAAGAGTTAATGCCCTTGTAATGGTCATTTGTACATAAAGTTGTAATTATTTATTTTCTCATTTGTACCATATCAAGGCTTTGTACAATGTTTTACGTTTTGTTTTCAAATTATTTTGTATTTTATTTTTATAAACTGGTTCTAAATAAAATATTCATTCAGCATGCAAAACTTCAATTCTTGGTTGTATTTGTATAATGATTTAATTATTTATAAAGCTTCAGTTGAAATTTTTTTGATATTTTTTACTATAGTAGCCCTGTACTTTAAATGGAGAAAGAGCTTGGGCAGTGATTTTTTTGTTTCTGTTACAAGAAAGCAAAAAGCAAGTGTCTGTTGGTACTACTGCAACATGAGTCAGATGTTCATATTGCAAGTTGGAATGATTGGATCAATGGAAGTTTTACTGATTTAATAGGTTCATGTGTTCATAAGAATAGGGAAATTCAACCAGCCTCCTCAGAAACTTCCCTTTCTACTTGCTCTCGCTCTTATCCATACTGTCTGTATTCAGCCAAACAATAAATGATTGCCACAGCAAGATCAGATCAATTTTAATAACAGTATGGTGGATTCCAGCCTTGTCATTCTGAAAAGCCAGCTACTTCTTCCTTTTTTTTTTCCCCACCTTCAAAATTGTAATTTCTTATTTAGTCAGAGGCCACCATAATTGATTTATTTGGAGATGATCAGCTGCCTGCATGTAGTCTTTGAGCTTTTACAGCCTCTTGAGGAGACCTGTCGTCATCTGTACAATACGCTTAAGTGGCAGATAGCAGAGAAACAAATGAATGGAATTTTTTACTGAATCTGAGCAGTTTGTGCTATGTGGAAATGCAGTCTTAAGCTGCCGTTTGCTCTAGTTTCCTCCAAGATCATTTTTCTTTTTAGTAAAACTACGTAAAAGTACAGTATCATCACAGCTTATATTTGTGTTTTATGTGCCTGCATGTCTTAGTCCTTGTATGCTGTAGAAAATACCACTTGCTCCTTGCACAGCCGAACAAAGTTTTTAGGGAAGTGCAGAAGAATTGGAAAAAATACCCTGGATCTCTTGGCATTATAGCTGTTATGCCTTGTGTGTAAGGCAAATTAAAAGCCAACTCTGTCCCTGTTCAAATAACTGGCAGTATTTTCATTAAGCTTCACAACCAGTTCACTAGCTCTTGTCATTTATATAAACAGACCAAATTGCTTCACACGACAGGAAACAAACTGAGAATTCATTTACTCAGTAATTTCCAAGAAAGCTATGTTTCATGTTAAGAGCAGACAGAAATTTAATGGCATGCTTCTGGATGGTGTGTGCTTTCGGTGCTCCCAGCAGAACCATCGTTTGATCACAGAAAGGGTGCCTAGAGGAATCGCAAGCCAGCTATATTAATTTGAAGATGAAAATGACAAATTTGTGCATTCTGTACTGGTGACAGGTAGCTTGGTATCTTTCCTTGTTTAAAAATATTATGTAAATCTGGCTCATACCAGAAATGGAAGAATGTTTTTCATCTGGCTCCAGTACATGTTAGTGGTACAACTGACAGGATGGGGGAAAGAAGCAAGATCGGAGCAGAGACGCTGTGGCAGGTCTGTGTTGATGTCTGGCAGTTGTCTGACCACTGAAGTGTCTTTTAGCATTACCTGACTTGTCGTCTTTGTTCATACAGGAGATCCAATCTGCCCACTCTGCTCTTAGGATCTTGCTGCGCTTCTCCGCACTTGCGCTGTAGCTACCTCTCATTTGAATTTGTGCTCGGAATGTGAAAAAGCTATGTAGCAGCCACGAGTCAGCTCTTCCTAGAAATGCAGTAGCAAGTGAAAATCAAGAGTTAACAATTGGAGAAAGAATTGAAACACTGAAAGAAAATCAGACAAGTAAGAATTGGCTGTTGCAACTTGGACAAGCTCAAACTGCTGTCCAGAAGGACCAGGTAAACCTTAGATGACAATTTGTTAATCTACCTGGAATGTCACGGTAGCGTTAATTGGCTTTCTTTGTCCGTGAGAACAAAACAGAAACGAAGGGTGCCTTCTTCAGCTACAGAAAACACTGCTCGAGAGCCCATCGGTACTAATGGGGGAGAAATAATGCTTTCAACAGGTTAATTTGGAAGGCTTTTAAGAACATACAATCAAAAATCAGATTTCAAAGGATTCTTTCCTGTTTTTAAAACCAGCAATTTGTGAATAAGGTAATGATACCTGCCATCCACACCATCTCCTTTTGTGAAAGTAAAGCTGAAAATGGGAACCTCCTCTTCTTCAAGGCATTAATCCCAATTAACAATCTGCCGTACGTGTAGATGTTTTAATTTTGTGAGATATTTGCATATTTTATTCCATCTATGATAATGAAGGGAAACACTTGCCAGCAAGGTGACTACCCTGTGTTCATGTTTTATTAGGCAGCAGCTGTTGGTTTTTAAGGTTTATGTCTGTGTGATTGGTACATCATAATAGTATAGGGGCAGAAGTAAAAGAAAGTACTTAAAAGTACCTTTCATATGGCTTAGTGCTTTGTCAAAGTTGACTGCAAAAATGACGTGTCTTACCCTATGATTACATGTTCCTATGCTGCTAGGAGAGGGACAACTGCGCTGCCATTTGTATTTGCTAAATTCTTGCAGCAGGAACGCTTGTGCAAAATGACTGGAAAGCTACAGGCAGCTGGTCATTGCTATAGGCCAAATTTATCTGTAGAACTTGAGTACGGGCGATAAATGCTTAAGAAGAGGGACCTGCATGATTTTTCAGGTCATCAGATAAAAATGCAGGTGAAAGAGTTCTTGTTTCCCTGCCAGTATGGACACTGGACATATGAACACAACACCTCTGCTAATTTTCAATTATGCAAAGTAGAGCAACTCTAATGTATCAGCCTTAAACACATCTTAAGAATACTGCCAATGACAATAGTTTCCCCCAATCTAAATGTCAAAAGGAGATTTTATTTTTTAACATTAGGATAAAATTACTCCTTTGGGCTTGTTTCAGAGCTGACACTAAAGAGGTTACTTTTTGCTCCAACTCTCCCTTCTCTTTCTTGTTCCTTGGATATGCAGTTATGAGAATGGAAGATTTTACTCATCTCTCCAATAGGTGAAGATGAAAACTTCATAAACTATGCAGGAGCATTTGTTCTCTCTGGAGCAAAGTCAGCCCGTGCCTCCTGTAATTTATTTAACAGCAAATTTAACTTCCTTTTCACGTAAAACAATATGGAAACTTGTATTTCAAATGTTGTAGTATTGCTTCCAGAAGGCATGCAAAATCTGGTGAATATAAAGGCTGATTATAAACTATATGGGGAAAAATGACTCCATGTGAAAATCAGGCATCACTCATCAATTACTTTTTTTGCTGTATTTCTCTATTTTAATCATGTGACAAGATCCTACCCTGCTAGTGCAGTAAAACAAAATGCCTCTGAGGAGAAGGTGCATTTGATAAGCTGGGAATGAACAGCAGCCAAGTGGAACAATGCTGTATGAATCCTGAGGAGTACATTCATGAATCAACAGCTCAGTCCTAAACCATTCCTAGAGCAAGCAGGTATGACAAATTTTTCCTGTGATGCCCTGCACAGCTCAGACTTAGAAAAGCCAAAAACACAAAAAAACACCACCACCAAGCAAACACCCCCAACATTACAACTATGAGAAAAATCAAGTACTTCAACCAACTACTTCTGAGGTTTAATCAAAAAACTAAGCAACTTGTGTAAGACAGCTCCTGCTGCTAAGTAACCATGTTACTTTTTTACCTCACTCTCATGCCTTTTATTTTTCAAAAGGTCACATTAAACAAAGGATGATACAGACAAGAGTCTTAGTCAAAATAAATCTGTTTTTTTGTTTGTTTTTTTTTTTTTAAGAGAGTAAGAGGATAAAGAAAACAAAAGAAAATAATTAGCCAACTGCAACAGAGTTAACAAACAGGAGACCGGTAATTAGTGTTTAATGCCACCTATAGTGAAATGTTTCCCACTGGGAAAAACATGGGAGGCAAGTCCACTTTGCTCCTTTGAAGTCGGAGGCCGGAGCGGAACATACAACAGCACCTAACACCACAGTCACTTTACATATATTCAAGTTTTTACACATCTGCAAAACAGAAGTAGTAGCAGCCATTTGGATGTTCTTTCTTAATGGTTCTCAGGGGGGGCCTGGGAAACTCGGAAGGACCGGGTTCCTGGGACATGGAGCTGGAGCTGCAGCTGCTGCTTCTGCTGCTGCTTCCAGCCACCTGCGTTCTACCTCTGTCCTCAGCAGGGGAGACCTGGGGGGAGCCCGGGCTCAGGTACCCGGCTGTGGTCTGAGTAGAGGCGGTGGCGTACGTCGTTGGGCCAGTGTTGCTTTTCACATAGACGTTTTTGATAGCAACAAGTGTATGCGCCATGATGCTGAGGCTGTTACTCAGATCTTGCATGCCTTGCTGCAGCAGCCGAAGATTGTGGTTGACACTGTCAAAGCCAGACTGGATCACCTGCATCTGGGTCTGCTGAATCTGCACCAGGTCCTCTTCAGTTATTTCACTTTGGTCTGCCTGGGACCTGCCTTTTGTTTTGGCTTTTACTTTCCCAGAGGAACCACCACCTGATGTCCCCAGAAAAGGTAGCTGTTCTTGGCTAGGTGGAACCACCGCCATGTCCTCAGAGCTTTCTTCTGGCTCTACCACCTTCACTACTATTTCTTCTTTGAGGTTCATCTTCTCAAGACTGGATTGATGAGACGGGCCAGGATCGTTATTAAACCCTAGAGGAGATGAGGGAAGGGAAAACCAAAGGAGAGTCAGTAAGAAACTTCATGCCCTCAGTGGTCAGCAACATGTGTTCCCAGCCGCTAAGCGTTAACATTAACTAGTCCTTGAACCAAGACACTACAACTCGCACTGCATTATCTTTGCTGCTTTTAGAATGCGTATTACCTCAGTAGGTGGGAAGAAAACCATAAAGGCGCCTTCACCAGCTAACCATATACGTGCATACTACAAATCCCTCACCGGCCCCACCACAGAAGCCAAGTTTTAGGTTCCAAGAGACAAAGTTCACTGCAAGCTCATTTCATGCTCTACCGGGCACGCGGTCACTGCTCACAGCATTGCTGAAACACTGCGATTGCAAGAAATCCCTTGGTATCGAGGGTGATGGTGTCAGCGCACTAAGGCGATGTCTCTCCGGTACGCGCTCCGTTACGCTCCTGCGGCACCCGGCGCGGCCGAGCACCGCACGCCGTCCCGGCTTTTTGCATTTGCAGGAGTTAAGCGCTACGCAGGTGAACACCGGCGGCGGGGGTCTAACGCCTCACAGACGGGCACCTACTACGAGAGGGGGTTTACTCTTCGGTGCCGCCCTGATGCGCTTCTACGACCGCCGGCACGCAGTCTCCCGCTTCTGGGCGCGCGTCTTTTGCACCTCCAAGGAGAGCGGGTGGTGCTCCGAAGCGGACATTTTCAAGCGGGGCTGGGAGCCTGCCGCCGCCGCCCTCCCGCCCCCGGAGCCCGAGGAAGCGGCTGCCGGGCGGAGGGTCCGGGGCAGCGCCGCGGGGGCCGGGTCCCGCACTCACCCATCTCCCCCACGACGGCGCCGGGCAGCTCCAGCGTGTCGATGCCGCCCACGATGGGCACGGCCTCGGCGGGCAGCAGGGAGCCGTAGGCGCGGTGGTGGTGGTGGAGGTGGTGGCGGCGGGCGGGCGGCGCGGCGGCGGGCGGCATCTCCTCGGGGGCCAGGAGGAGGCCGAGGGCGGCGGGGCCCGGCGGCCCGCAGCCCTGCGAGAGGCGGCAGAGCTTGCTGCGGTCGCGGCGCTTGAGGTCCCGCCAGCGTTTCTTCAGATCCTCCACGTCGCGGGGGCAGGCGGCCACCGGGTTCACCTTGTGCCGGATCAGCTCCCACACCTTCCGCTTCTGGCCCGGGGAGGCGCGGCCCGGCCCCGCCGCGAACAGCAGCTGCTCGTGTTTCAGCACCTGCTCGATCAGCACCTCCGTCTCTGCCTCGTTGAAATTCGCCTTGCGCCGCTTCGGCGAGTCTTCGGCCATCCTCCGCCGCGGGGGGGCCCGGCGGGCGGGGGGCCACTGCCCCTTCTCCCACCCCCCCCGACCCCCACCCACCCCCCTCCCTCCCTCCCCGCCCCGGCCGGTGGGCGCCGCCGCCGCTAGGCCGGGCCCGGAGCCCCGCCGGGGAAGCAAATACCGCGCATGAGAGGAAAAGACGCGCACAGGCCGGCGCAGGCGCCCCGTGCCCCGCGTGTTGACATGAGGAGGGGGCCCTGCCCGGCCCCCGCCCGCCTCCCACGGCGGGAATCCCCGCCGCCCCGCCCCCCCCCCGGGTGGGTGGGGACACAGACCTCGCCCGGCCACGCGTGGGTTGTGCGCGTGCTCGGTCAGCGGTGGAGGGGGGCGTGGGGGGGTAGGGAATGGCGACTGTTTTGGAGCTGCTGCTGCAGGAGGAGGTGGCGGTCAGCGCCGTGGTGCGGTGGCTCCGGCACGGGCCCGGCCACCGCTCCGCTGAGGTAACGCGCGGCGGGTCGCCCGCCCGTCCCTCCCTCCCTCCCCGGCGCCCTGGCTCCGGCGGGGCCGGGCCTGCCGCCGCGCCGCCCCCCTCAGCTCCCGCTGCCGCCGCGGGCCGGGCCCGCGCGGGAAATTTTTGTCCGCCGCGCCGCTGTGAGGGGCGAAGAACGCGCGGGTCAAGCCGCGTCCCCCCTGAGGGGCCCGCCAGCGGCCGGGAGCGGGGGCCGGAGCTCTGTCGAACCGCCGGCGGCACCGCCCCCGCCGCGGGCGGGCTCTGGGCAGAGCGGCGGGAAGGCGAGGCCGCCGGCGGGGGAGCTGCCGCCGCCGGGAGCAGCGCTGGCAGAGCCGCTAAAAGCCGCGGGGCTGAGCCCGCTCGCCGGGAGCTCAGCGCCGCCTGGGCCGGGCGGTGGCGCCGGGGCTGAGGCGGGGCGGGGAGCGGGCATCCCGCGGGCGCGGCGCGGGAAGCGCGGCGCCTCGGTCCCCCGGCTGCCGTGCGCTAGTGGGGACCGAGGGGAGGGGAGGGCGGGCGGGCATCTGGTGTCCTGAGGAAACGCCACGCCACGCTTCCCGCGTCTTTGGCGGGGAAAGTAACGGCGAGAGGCGGGTGAAGCTGTCGCCAGCGCCGTGGGGGCAGCCGGCGCAGGCCGCCTGCAGCGCCCGGGCTTTGGGACGAGGGCTGGAGCTCCCAGGCGCGGCGGGGAGCCTGGGGAGAGCGGAGCGGCTCAGGGGGGCTGGGTGCCTGAGGGAGGGCACGGTGCCTGGCCCTGTGCAGACTCCGCGTTATCTCCCGCCTGGTTGCTCCTCCTGCCTGTATGTTGAGGACGATCTTTCAGGGCTGGGAGAGGGTCCTTGCTGGGCTTGAGTAGGCTGAGTTTTGCCATATGATACGGCCGGAGAGTTTGGGTTCCTGTGGTAATAAAAGCATTTGTAACTGTAGATGGACTATAAGTGCTGGTATTTCATCAATAACATAGAGAAACAATTTGTATTTAAACCATTTTCTGCCTGAGCCGCTCAGAGCATGTCATCTAGTATTAATTGAAATCAAAACTCACTGGTGTCACCCACGTGAGTTAGTCGAGTATCTCTGTCATCCTAAACCTGTGCGGGAAGAAGGGACCAGCATTTCACATTGTCTGCTGTTTCCTAAACCGTGACTTGCAGAAGCAGACCCGTGGAGGTTATGGAGTTTGAGATGCTGGCAGCTCAGCGAGCACTGCGTGGGTGAGGGGTGCAGAGGCCGAAGTTTGTCCTTGCAAGGGAGTTGCTAACCACCTTTTGCTGCAGGGAGCAGCTCAGTTGCTTCAGTGTGAGAAAGCAAGTGGGAGGCTTGCAGCTGGCAGCTGCTGACAGGTTGCTGTTAGCCAGCGGTGGAGGAACCAAACCTCTGTGAACTTGCACAGAGAAAGATGAGTGAAAGCAGATTGTGCTCTGAAAAGTTGGAGAAACTACCTGACCTCGTGCATATCGTCAGACTGTAATTTTCTTTGTGCCTCTACACTAAACCCGGGAGGCACTTGAGGAAATGGTAGGCTATGTCTTGCTCTAGCTTTCATCATAGCAGTTTTGGGTTGGAGCTGATAAGAAGTTGGGTTTTCTGACACCTCGCAAGGTCTGTGTTCTGACCTGTTTTTTTTTCTGACTTAGCGTCCTAAAGCAGTGAGCTTTGGCTGCTTGGCTCGTTATCCAGGCTGTGTTGGTGTCTCCTGCTTCTCCAGGAAGCTGAATTGGTCTCACACTTTCACATATGAATTTCAGCATAGGTGCTGAGTACTGTAGGAGTCCAGGCATGGCCATGCTTTCACTGCCTCCTTTCATACAAAAAAGTCCTTCAGAAATAGCATTTGGTCTCTTGACTTTTCATCTAGTGGAGGTGTGAATATAAATGAACGGAAATATGTGTGCAGTGATTTTAATCTTAGTGAGGAATAAGTTGCTGCCTGTGAGAGCTTCTTCTGTATTTGTTGTGAATGTTGCTGGATCCCATTGAGAGGAAATGGAAACCTGGTGCAGTATTAGGAACAAAAGAAATTTTACCCAGTGTACAAAACTTTGAACTGTGCATGCAACATGAGGTCTTTTTTTTTTGTCTAGATTGACCCTTGTAAGGTCACCACCACTTGTTTAGATTTTAAGTGTGTTGAGTCTGTGGAGGGCTTTTTTCTTTGTTTAAGTTTCTTAAGTATAAACTTCATATAAAGATGCACAGTCTCTGTTTAGACCTCTGTGATGTCTCAAGGGAGCAAAATTACTTAATTGAAATGGAAGAGCATCTTTGATCTTGTATTTGGCACTGCAGGGCTCAAAGTGCTTGAACAGTTGTTGCTGCAGCACCCCTCTGTGGAAACAGGTGGCGTTCACAGACAAATAGGGGACAGAAAAGTTGTAGATTTTCGATTTTTCTGTTGGAATCCGCTGTTTCAGGGTTGATGACTTTGAAACGTTGGACTGAGGGGTGCCAGTTGCTCCATGTTCTTCCTGGCCATTGCTTCAGTAAGTTTGATGCTTTCATGGAACATTTCCACCGTTTCCCAGTTGGAGACCAAAGTGAATGACGCCATCTGAAAACTTCTGCCAAAATGGCTTGTGTGGAGGCTGAGTTTCAGATCTATGATCAGCGCTAGGGTCGCTTGAATTTCAGTGGCCTGCTTTGACAAGTCATGGCTTTTATTGTGTATTGCAATCCCACGGTTACTACTTGAGTGAGTCTGGGCATATGGAAAGAAAGAACAGGGTAGCATCATTGTGTTAATGTTTTGTCCTCTTTCCTTGTAGGAGAACCACATCCATGAGAAGCTGGTACCTCTTAGTTTGCTTCAGAAAGACTTTGTGCCTTTTCTGCTAAATTTTTTAAGGGAACAGACCAGCCAGATCTTGACTAATGGACCCTCTACTCCTGCTAAAACTCCTAATTCCAAGGCCCATGGGAGCCCAAGGACAGGATCAGAAAGGAGGGCAGGCCATGCAACCAGCAGCCGAGTGCAGCTCTTTTCCCAAAGGACTTCGGTGACCACCTGCACCACAGACACCAGCTTTTCTCCCGCTGCAGCATCCAGCAGCTCCTCTTCCTTTTCTGGGTCAAACCTGTCTAGCTCTTGCGGTGACTTCCCTAGCACGGTCTCCAGTAGCAGCCCGAGCTTTGGGTACAGCCCTGTGCTGAACCCTGGTGAGAAGCGGTCATCTCAGAAGGCCAGCCTGGGGAGCTTCCTCGCAGCCGCGCCCGAAGCCCTGCCAGCGAGACGAGGCCGAAGGAAAGGCAGCAGCTCAGTCAGTGCCTCTGGCCGGCAGGTAGCTCGGGATCTGGGGCGTTCCCTTGCTGAAGAGGAAGACGGAAAGAGCGACAGTGTGTCGTGGAGTGGAGGGAGAAGGAAGCGGAGTGAAGTGCCTCTTACTTCTGCCAGATCCCCACCCAGCCAGCTAAACCTTAACAACTTGGAGGAGTTTCCGCCCATGGGTGCTGCCTCTGGCTGGACAAAGTAAGAGCAAGTCTGCCTTGCTGTCTCATTCGGACTGTGCTGCCAGGTTACTGTTCCTTGACTAGCTCATCCTGTTGTGCGTGCCGAGATACAGAAGATGCTGTAAGAAACAATACCTGGGGGTGGCTGCTGGGCTCCTCGGTCAGAACTGCTTTGTTACGGTTTTCACGTAGGGGATTATTGCCTGACTTCAGTGGGTAGTCAGGTTTCTACTCTGTGAACTCACCCAAGATGCCTCTTTAGCTTCTCACTTGTGATGCTGCCTGCAGCTCACCGGTGCACACACCAGCTGATACGGAGCTGAGCACATCTTTGTCCTTGCACGTTCTAACAAGTCAGCGTTATCTTGTCTCTTCACATTTCTCTTTTAAACACAATAACAATTGCTAACGAATTGCTGTCCTGGAAGGCTCTTCAGCTTGACTGATGCTAGCTAAAAAGCTTTTGGATTGACGTTATGTGGCTTCTGGTAACAGATGTTAGCAGAACAGCTAACTTTGTGCAGCTTTGTTTGTGCCCTGTGATTGTGGACAAAATAGCTAGCTGATGCCTGTATTCTCTCTGGTCTGTAGCAAGCCCTGGTCTCCTTGGTGACTTTGCCTTAGCTTCTGGGCAGCTGTTTGTGTTGTGGTTGTCTCAGACCTTTTCTCTTTCCCTTCGAGATTTTACTCTTTAATTTCCTCATTACCGAATACAAAGCTTTCATGTCAGCCTGTTTGCTCCATGGTAGGCACTCGTCTCTGAAAGTGGGACTTTGGAGTTGGACACACAAAATTCCATCTGAAAATTGATGTGTCTGTAAGTCTGTACAGTAGATTCAGATGCTGGGTCTAGGTGATGCCCCAGCTGCTTTGGCCAAGGGAGATAAGGTGTGTTTCCAGCATAGACAGTAAGTCTCTTCCTCGACTGCACTATGCTCAACTAGGAAAAAGAGTGAGGAGAGGTCACAGAATGTTTGGAAGCCAACACTTTAGCAATATGGAGAACACCATAGCAATTCATATGTAGCAATCGGTATTTTCTTGAGAAGTGTAATGCTTTATGTTTGTGTATCTCATTTCTAGTATGTCTCTTATTGCAGTACAGAGCCTTTTCCTGAAGGA